ATGTGGACCTTTTTGCTTTTTTTGACCCAATAACTATCATTCCCTTTTTTTTTTTGTAATATTTTGTCTCCAACCCTAACACGAGATGGGTCCAAACTTTTATGGTTCATAAAGACGAGGGATATAGATCTACCGATTCCCTAATGTTCGATCAAATATAAGAGAATTAGTTTTGACCTAATAGGAACTGCCTCAAACTTCTTAGTAACCTCCTATTATAAGTAATGATCCTGAGTTAACTTCATAGTTCATGCAACAGAAAGTGTTGACTAAGTGGGACACACTTCTAAAACCCTATAAATCCTAAAATTTTACTCCATACACGGGTACGTGCGAATTTGATTACTCAATCTAAGACGAAATAATTCGAATTGGGACTAACTTGATCTTTTCTGATTGCTTACCTTTGACTTTTTAGGTCTTTCTTCCTTGAGATTCGGTTTCTCGTGAGTGATCTGATCGATCAAAAAGTTAGAAACTAAAATTCCTACACACGTGCATAACTTCTTGAGCAAAAGCTAATGAAATTTAACATGCATAATTTATTTATTGCAATATTGCTCGCATGACATTTAATTTACTTTACCTACACAAATTAATGAGAGTACGTAGAATTCGCAAAGCATAAGCAAATCGAGAGCTAGGATGTACCGATTCATGATCAACAAGTTGCATACATAATATGAAATAGACGTGGCTTTGCATGTAGGTGTAATGGTTTCGAGAGGCAGAGTTCATCAGACTCAGAGAATCCTACCTTTGTGGTTCCTGGCAGTAAGTTCCATGAAAATCCTTGTAGTAGCCTAGCAAATAGCATCATGGTAATGCTGGTGCCCAATGAGCTACCAACGCAGCCTCTCCTCCCTCTACTGAAACTAATGAATCGTAGACTCGGTTCTGACAATCCAAATTCAACCGTTCCATCCTTAAGATGGCGTTCTGGATCGAACCGCATCGGATCCTTCCAGATCCTCGTGTTTCGACCGAGCCCCAGTCGGCTTAGCACGACTTCACTACCTTTGGGAATGAAGTAACCAGCTACAATGATGTCAGAGTTTGAGACATGAGGAACATTGAAGGGTGAAAATGGATGAAGTCGAAAAGATTCTCTAACACAAGCAGTGAGATACTTGAGTTTAGGGATATCAGATTCTTGAACAAGCCTGTCTCTTCCGACTATTCTGTCCATTTCTTCAATTACTTTCTGAAGAATCTTTGATTGATTGAGTAGTTCTGCAATTGTCCATTCCACAGCGTTTGAAGGATTGTCGATCATTGCAAGTTGTAGCTCCTGTCATCACAAAGGAAAACAATAGAATATTAAATTGGTTATCAACTACATGTTAACTATTATATAATTACATATTGTGCAAATATCAATTTTAACCTTTCACCGAATTTATGTACGCTGATATTGTTTCGAATGATAAAATTATATTTAAGATCAATCACAAATTTACACGTGTCCTTAATTTAAATCAAATATAATGTCACATTTTTTTATGACCCGATGAAGTGGTAATCGGTACGGACAATACGGTGATTGGACTCGAATCTATAGGACACAAATCTATAAGAAGAAAGCTCGAATAAGACTCAGAAGGTATAAATAAAAGGAGGTTAACTCTCCCTAGGGTCCACAAATCATTAAAGCGATCAAAGCTATTGTGAGTAATCCGTAATTATTTAGAGATCTAAAATCACTTAGAATAATTCAAAAAACTCAAAAAGCATAAAAAGGCTTTGCGAAAACTTGAAAACTCAAAGAATTTGAAGACTATAAAATTCAAGAATTAGATTGTCTCTTCACAAACTACAAATTGAAGATACAATACAATAGTTCAAGAACAAGCTTCCTAGCTCTCGAATCAAAGTTCGTACTCGAGAGAAACTATAAGATCAAGATCATACGTTTGAAATTGTAACATCCCTGTATTAATGCAAAGACACAAGTTTATTAATTCAAATTTTTCTTCTTTCTCGTGAACAGATATTATCACATGTAAAAGTTGTAAAATACTCACCATGGTTTGAGCCTTAATCTCCTCAATTGACAACAACATTCTTTTGTTCTCATCTTGAAGTGAAATGAGTATATCAAGAATGTCCTCTACTCCTTCCCTTTTCCCATCTTTCCATTGGTGCACCCTCTTATTTATAATGGGTTCATCATACTTTCGAAGGACTTCCAAAGCCTTTTTCATGGTCTTCTCATGTCCATCTAAATCAAATGGCTTCAAACAAGGCATGAAATCTAATATAGAAAATGCATTAACATGCCTTAGAATTGTTAGCAACGCTTGATTATGCTCTTCTTCTTCAGTAGTGGGCCCTCCATCTTCCCTCCCTTTGCCATAGTACCTGTATGAGCAAAATACAAAGAAAATAAAAATGAAATTTTGTTCCCTCCATACTTCAAGACTCAAAAAACTTTTGTACTTTTCTTTTTTATTTTTCGGAATTGATACCATGTGGTTTATGCTAGTGGATCTCTATAATCGAAACTTGTTGACTGGACTGAACAATAGTACTCTGAATAATAGGTCTCGAACTTGAAACCTCAAGGTAGATGGTGCTACATTGTCCTAAGTGCTTGCCACTGCACCATCCCAATGGGACAACGTGTTGGAAAAATAAAGAAATCCAAATTCATGATATAGCTAGAATAAAGGCCATAAAATTAAAAAATAATCTAGACCAAGGATCTAAGTATGGAAGAAAACCGAAATCTATAAGAAAGTTAGAATTACTTGGCATTCTTAGATAAATTGATCATAACTACAAGAAGGTGTGGTTTGTGGTTTTCTCAACTATTTAATTCAAACCGATTATAGGCAATTCTTGTTGGGAACAGACAATGGAACTATGCACAAAATAAAAACAGAGACAAACTAATATGATAAGAATATCAAATACTTAGTTTGATTCATTGTGAAAAATGATGATGTTGTGCCTTTATATAGGCTTATAACAATAACAAAAATAGCATGTTACTGACTCCACTAATGTAGTGTTCCCTAAACTTAGAATCCATCATCCACTAACTTAGTGCCACTGATAGTGTAATTTATAAACCACATTTCATGATATTCAGGTGAAAATTATTTAACAATTTTTCGATCATTTATGGCTTATTTACGTGTATAGCTGATGTTTTTATATGATCAAGCCATTAGAAAGAATTGGAGCATAAACGATCAATTGAGAGGAAAACTAGAGCGAAAAAAAAGAAGCTTAATTCAGCCACATCAGCGCCGTAGCTCCATCATGTAGCGCCATGGCGCCTACAAGTTATAATTGGGAGCAAATTCCCGAAAAAGCAGTGCCACAGCACCAGTACACAGCGCCATGATGCCTGCAGACAAAGCTTGGGCCTCTTTCCGTGATGATAGCGCCACAACACTGTCTTGTAGTGCCATGGCGCTACGAACTTGCTCGTCTGTCACAATTTTGGGACAGCGCCATGGCTCTGTAGCGATGCCCTCACATAAGTTAAATATTAGTGCACTATTTTTGGAGGACTTTTGGGGATTCTCACATTGGAGAATTGGAATTTGGAGAGGTTTGGCTCGAGATTTGAAGCAAGAAGGGCGATGAGACGATTTTCGAAGGCTCGTGATCGTGGAGATTGAGTAGAGGATGGTCAATCGATACTACGACTTTGGTTTCTCTCTTTTCCCTTATTTTTTCTAGATTTATTATGAAATTTTCTGTGAGATTTTATTGTATTTTCATGAACATGAGTAGCTAACCTTCTTGTTCTAGGGATTGATGTAGTCGCTAGATTTATGATTGGATTTATTAACAATTGTCTTGATTGATTTGTTTTTAATCTATTTGTGCATTTATTCGCTGAATGCTTTTAATCTCTTGATCACAGATTAATTGTTGCTAAATCTGAATCTTAAGCTCGGAAGAGGTGGTTTAGATTGGAACTTGAATGCATGACTGGGGTAGTTCTAAGATCGGGAGATTTAGAATTATCTTAAAGGTTGTTAAAAGACTAAGACTAAATGCCTTGCTTGTTAATGAAATTAGATAGGGATATTGGTTTCTTAATAAGTGGGAGAATCAATTGTGCTCTAGAGAGATAGTTATGATTCTTGATTTCTTGACTTATAAATTAATTTCATGTTCAATCTTGGCATGTTTAATTTTTGCACTTGTGGTTCAGTTGGTGAAATCAATTCCCTAGGACCCGTTCTCCATAAGAGTTTTCTTTAGAGTCTTTTATTCGCTTTGATATTTGATTTTTGTGTGTCAAAAGAAATTCCTTGTTGTTTCTCTAGATAAAATTGGACAATAATATCTGTAGTACTTGAGTGACTAGAAACCCAATCTAGTGGACGATATCGGTAATTACTTACCACTTTTATTAAAACTTGATCCGTACACTTGCGGTAAGTTTTTTTTAATTAGTGCCACTAAATTTGAATAATTCCTTCAATACTCTCTCTTGATTCAAATTTGCAAACTCCAAGCAACGCTCCAAAGTAACAAAATTTCTCCTTTGACTAAGACTTCGTAAGTATGTCGGCCCATTGTTTGTGCATGCTACAATACTTCAGAGCAATGTCTCCCTTCGTAACCAAATCACTGATGAAATGTAAATGAATATCAATGTGCTTCGTCCTGCTATGAAATGTTGGATTCTTCGTCATTGAGATCGTTGCTTTGTTGTCGCAGAATATCTCTGTTGCTCCCTCTTGCTCCTGTTGAAGCTCCACTAATATTCTTCTTAGCCAAATTGCTTGACACGTGGTTGAAGTTGCTGCGACGTAGTTTGCTTCCGAAGACGACAATGTCGTCATGGCTTGTTTCTTTGAACTCCAGGTGATTACTCCCGATCCTAGAGTAAACATATTTGCTGATACGTTCTGCCTATCATCCAACGAACTCGCCCAGTCACTGTCCGTGAATCCACATAGCTTGAAATTGGATACTTTAGAGTACCAAATTACATACTCCATTGTTCCAGCAATGTATCGAAGAACCTGTTTCGCTGCTCCAAAGTGATTCTTTGATGGGTGTTGCATAAACCTGGAAATAACACCAACAGAAAATGCAATATCGGGTCGAGTGTGGGTAAGATAAATTAAGCCTCCAACGAGACTTCTGAATTTTGTAGCATCTGTCATCTCAACTCCATCTTCCTGCTGCAATTTCTCATTCATATTCATCAGCGTAGTTGCAGGCTTGCAATTAAACATGCCGAACTTGTTGAGAATACCCTTGGCATACTTTCTTTGCGAGATGAAAATTCCTCCTTCAACTTGATGAAATTCAAGTCCAAGAAAGAAATGCAATAAACCCATATCTGACATCTCGAACTCATTCTTGATATGTGACTTAAACTCAGCGATAAGGGATTCAAAGGAACTAGTATAAATGATATCATCAACGTAAAGACAAACAATGATAAAATCGTTTTTACCTCCCTTTTTCACATATAATGTGGGCTTGTTTGCACTTCTTATGAATCCATTTTGTTGAAAATAGCCATCAATCTTGCTATACCACGCCCGAGGAGCTTGCTTCAACCCGTACAATGCCTTCTTCAACTTGTACACCTTCTCTTCTTTGCCTTCTTTTATGAAACCTTCTGGTTACGCTACATAGACCTTTTCTTGTAAATCTGCATTTAGGAATGCTGACTTCACATCAAATTGATAAATCGGTCACTGCAGTTGTGCCGCCAATGCTAGAACTATTTTCACAGTTTCAAAACAAGCTACTGGAGAAAAAGTTTCTTCAAAATCAATACCGTGTTTCTGTGCATATCCTTTCGCCACAAGCCATGCTTTGTGCTTCTGGATGCTTCCATCTACGGCAAACTTTGTCTTGAACACCCACTTCAAGCCAATTGCACTTTTGCCTTCCGGTAAATCCACCATCTCCCAAGTTGCATTCTTCTCAATCGATGCCAATTCTTCCACCATCGCTTTCTACCATTCTTTCTTTTCTACTGCTTCTTCATAGCACATTGGATCTGAAATCATCAAAGCAAAATGTTCATAAATTTCAAATAAGGATCTAAACTTTCTTGATGGTGATTCGTCCGATAATCCTGTAGAGTTTAAACTTTGAGGCGACGATGGGGGACTTGTAGAAGATGTTGAATTTGGTGAACTGGTAGAGGATCCATCGGAGCTTGATGAAGTCGGTTGTGGATCTTCATTTGCCAATTCTTCATTCACCAAAGGAACGTGTTGCTGCAACTTTTCTTCATTTCTCTTCCAATCCCAGCTCACATTCTCATCAAATACTACATCCCTTAATGTTAGAATTTTGTCATTAAGAGGGTTATATAATCTATATGCTTTAGACTGAGTACAATAACCAATGAAAATACACTTTTCAGACTTTTCATCAAGTTTTTGACAAACTTGAGAATGTACTAAAGCATAAGAAATACAACAAAAAACTTTTAAATGACTTACAGTTGGTTTCCTTTCATGTCAAGCTTCATAAGGGGTTTGCTTCATGACTCCCCTTGTTGGAGATATGTTCAATAAATAGATAAATGTTGCTACTTCCTCTGCCCAAAATTGATTCGAAAGTCCTTTTGTGTGTAACATGCTTCTCGCCATCTCCAAAACGGTCTGATTCTTACTCTCGGTGACACCGTTTTGTTCTGGAGTGTAAGGGATTGTCAGCTCCCTATAATGCCATTTTCTTCACAAGAAAACTTGAACTCCTTGGACAAGAATTCTCCACCACTATCGCTACGAAGAGATTTGATGAATCTTCCACTTTGCTTTTCCACCTTAACCTTGTAGTGCTTGAACTTCTCAAAAGTCTCTGACTTGTTTTCCAAAAAATATACCCAACTCATGCGACTATAATCATCAATAAAAAGCAAGAAATAACGACTCCCACCAAGAGACTTAGTTTGCATAGGTCCACATAAATCAGCATGAACCAATTCAAGACACTTAGAGGCTCTCCAAGCCTTCCCACTAGGAAAGGACTTCCGGGTTTGTTTTCCATAAATGCACCTTCACATAAATCAATAGAGACAATTTTCGGTAGCCCAAGAACCATACCTCTATGATTTAGCAATGACAAACCCTTGATGTTGAAATGCCCATATCGTAAGTGCCACAACTTCTAGTCATCTTTTAGTTTAGCAGCAAGAACAAAACTTCCCACATTTGAAACTTCAAATGGGAACATTTTGCTTTGGGTCATCTTAACCCGAACCATCTCTTGACCTGTCTGCTTATCTTTGATTACATAGGCATCATCATCAACTATCATGAAATATCCACTAGTCATCAGTTGTCCAACACTCAATAAATTGTATCCTAAATTGGGTACAAATTGAACATTATGAAGGAGCTTGAGTTTACCATGACTAGTTTCAATACCAACCGTACCTTCGCCTTCAACTTGTAAGTCCTTACCATTTCCAAGTTGCACCTTCATCTTTTCTACCTCATCAAGTTCTCTGAAGATAGATTTTGTGCCTGTCATGTGATTTGAGCAACCATTATCTACAAACCAGATATCACTTGCCTTTTGGTTAGATTCTACATGAGCCATAAAAAGCTTACTATCTCCAGCATTTGTCGATACTTCATTCTCTGCAAAATTGGCTCTCTGATTATTGTATCGACAGTATGCCTTTATGTGCCCATATCTTTTACAGTGGTAACACCGAACTATATTCTTATTGCTTGTTTGCTCGTAGGACTGCCTTTGTCCTTCGAATCTTCCTCTACCTTTGTCCACGACCTCGATCACGAAATCCTCCTCTTCCGCAGCCTCGATTCACTTAATGATCACCTTCTCCGAATTTGGAGGCTGCCTCTTTCACCTGAAATGCTTTTTCTTCGATTTTTTCAAGCGATCTGTTAATCCTTGACTCATGAGCTTGAAGAGACCTCATTAGTTCATCAAATATAAAAACTGACAAATCCTTTCATTCTTCTATTGCAGCTACTACATGATCAAATTTTGGAGTCAAACTTCTAAGTACCTTTTCAACAATGGTTCGATCGGTAATCGTTCGTCGTAGGATCGCAGCTGACTGACTCTTACCATTGCTCTTGACAAAAAATCAACTACCAATTCTCCATTCTTCATCATCAAGGTCTCAAAGTCACGCCTGAATGATTACAATCTCAGCACAAGGACCTTCGAAATGCCTTGAAACTCCTTTTGCAAAATAGACTATGCTTGTTTTGACGTTGTTGCCGCTGCGATTCTTGAGAAGACACTGTCATGGACCGCTTGTTGAATCATCACCAACGCCTTAGAATCCTTCTTCATGTTCTCCTGCAACCTGCCTTGATTGTCGTCGGGATCTGCATAGCCTTGTTCCACCAACTCCCATAAGTCTTGAGATTTGAATAGAGTCTTCATACGAATGCTCCAGAATTTGTATCATTCTCCTTTGAAGATGAGAATGAGTGGTTGTGTCGCACTCATCGCATTGTCATTGCTGCCCATCGATCTCTCTTTGTGTTTACACTCTAACTCACGTGTTTACACTTGACTCACTCTCTCAAATCGTGCTCTGATACCAAATTTGTTGGGAACAGACAATGGAACTATGCACAAAATAGGCAAACTAATATGATAAGAATATCAAATGCTTAGTTTGATTCATTGTGGAAAAGAATGATGTTATGCCTTTATATAGGTTTACAATAATAACAAAAATAGCATGCCACTAACTCCACTAATGTAGTGTTCCCTAAACTTAGAATCCATCATCCCACTAACTTAGTGCAACCATAATTGGTGTCACTATCCATTATCTCACTTTCTAATTAGTGCCACTAAATTTGAATCATTCCTTCGATACTCTATTTGATGGGAAACAGGAAGCTCAAGTGACATAGTGTATATTAAGACAACTATAACCATATAGTTAAGAAGGAAAATTTTGAGGGAAGAATTTTTCTATCTCGAAAACCTAAAAGAATAGTCTTTTTATAAACTATTTGTGATAATTCCAATAGTTATATCTTTTTTTATATATATAGATTTGTGCTTATCACATAATCGTTTCATTTACCCTCACATGAAAAGTTGTGATTATTAAAAAAATTTCTATTCATAAATTCCAACAGTACCTTCTGTTGAATAACATTCTTCTGATAATGTTACCACTATAATGTTGCGTTACGCTTCTCACATTAACCACTGCATTGCCTTTATTGCTGGTGTTAGTGGTGGTGAGGCTGAAAATATAACGTAGAAGAGTATCGGCCTCGTCAGTTCTATGGCCAATCATACGTTGAAGAGTTGATGAACTGAATATTTGTGACGCGAGTATTCTTCTCATCTTCTTCCATTGGTCTCCCATCGGCGAAAAAATAGTACCGAGAAATCCATTGGTTAAGATGTTGATGGTTTGATGGACAGGACGTGAAGAAAAGGCAGAGTCATATGTCTTGAGAAATTCAAGAGCCAGTTCTGGAGAAGTCACTGGGATTATGTAGGTGTTGCCGAGACGGATGCAGGCAATTTCAGAGTTGAATTGCTTCATCACTGCATGAATCCATTGGTATTTTGGTGAGTTGGTGGCCAACATTGGTGGGAGGCAGCCCACAATAGGCCATGGTTTTGGGCCTGGTGGGAGAGCTGCACAATGGAGTACTGAGTGCTTTCTTCTGCGGTAACATTGGGAAGCCATGAAAACGAAGACAATGAAGATGAGTAATTGAGTGATGAGTGAGAAATTAGCTTCCATGGCTCTTCACTCTCTCTGTGTATTAGGAAAGTGTTTATATTATTGGCTTATGAAGGTTGATTTTGTCTCGAAAAATAATTAACTCTTTACCGGAAAGATTGATGGTTTGTTTAAAAAAAAAATAGAAAACGAAAAAGGCCTGTTTTAAAATTTTTCATTCTTTATCCAATCTTGAATGAGTGGTCAAGACAAGATAGGCCATGACTGGTAAGGAACCCTGATTTATCAAACCTTAAAGCCTAAAACACTAAATAGGCCTAAACATAAAAATAAAAATTTCAAACCAAAGCATCGATTTGGTATGCAATTCGAATGCTATTTCTTGTTTTCGGATTCTATGATCTAAATAATGAAAATTCTGACAGCATTTTGTGTCTTTAGTGTTTTGAAATGTTGAATTTAAAACTTTACGGTGCATAATTAGAATAAAAAAAATTATAGCAACTTTGATAAATATAGTATTTAATGTTTGAAACTTATTTAAGTTTGATTAAAATTAAAATATATAAAACATAATATATTGTAAATTATGTAGTAGGGTAAATTAATCATTCTAAAAAAATCAGGTAAAATATACTTTTGATCCCTGAATTTTAAGATAAGTTTTTATTTGATCTCTAAGTTTCAAAAAGCAATAATTTGGTCCCTGACTTTTAGAAAATAGTTCTAAAAGGTCCGTAAGTTTCAAAAAGCAATAGTTTGGTCCCCGACCTTTAGATAATAGTTCTAAAAGGTCCCTGGAGTTAAACTTCTGTTAGATCACTAACGGAATGTTGACGTAACATGAGTGAGTTGGCAAACTTTAGATGGTTCGACAATATGTAAACTTCCGTTCGTTTTTTTTAAATGAACCATCAATTTTTCCGGTAAAGAGTTGAGTATTTTTCGAGACAAAATCAACTTTCACAAGCCAATAATATATAAAAATATTGGTGAATCATCTAAAGTTTGCCAAGTCACTCATGTCACGTCAACATTCCGTGTTAGTGATCTAACCGAAGTTTAACTGCAGGGACCTTTTTGAACTATTATCTAAAGGTCGGGGACCAAACCGTCGCTTTTTGAAACTTAAGGACCTTTTAGAACTATTTTCTAAAAGTCGGGACCAAACTGTCATTTTTTGAAAATTAGGGATCAAATAGAAACTTATCATAAAACTCAGGACCAAAAGTGTATTTTACCCAAAAATTTATAACAACCACCAGTTTACAAACATGTCATTAAAAACCTTGAATAACTTTTTTAATTGAGATTTAATTTTCAAATCTGCTACCAAACATACCTAAAATACTGAAAACATGGAATACAACCATATTTTTCATCGAATCCCTTATTTTCAGATTTTTTTATTTTCAAATTACCAACTAAATGCACCCTAAATGTTTCCTTTTTAGAAATTTGTTTTTAAATTTGAAACATTTTGAAACCAGAACTATAAAAATGTGTCAGTCAATATATTGACAGTATTATTTACTATATCTTTGCTTGTTATAAATTTGCTACATGCACTTGAAATCAATATAATATGAACATGATGCACTTGAAATCAATATAAATGAACATGATTTTGGAACTTAAAAATAACTTTAGTGGCTGTTTGTTTCATGGGAATCGAAGATTCTCATGAAACAGGTATTTGGATTTCCACGTTTGTTTTGTGGTAATATAAGATATCCAGGTATCCTAGGATGCCCATTTGAAAGACATCCGAGTCGATTTGGATGCGTTTTTAAAACATGCGTTTCCATAATTCTATGTCACGGGCATTCTATGTTGACATTTTTACCCTTTCGTTATTGTTTCATATATTTTCTTTTATCAAATTTCTTTGGTTTTATTTGTAATTTTATAGTTTAAATAAATTAATATACTCGTTGACTAATAAGCAATTAGGTCTAGTATTACATGTACATATAAAAAATACTTCAATTAAATTATATAATATCTTCATTTACTTTTAGTATTTGAAATGAATTATTATGAATAATATCTATTATCTTAAATACATAATTTTAAAGCAACATTTTCTTAACGATCAGCTTACCTTTGATATTTTTCTTCTTAAAATAATATAATTTGATAATATAATAAATGAATTTTACCCCATATAACATTAATTAAATTGATTTTAAGAAAATCTATTATATAAATACAAATTATATTGTATGAATATTCGTAAGGGCGTTTTTGGAACATTATATAAATTTAGAACATTCTCAAATAAATCGTGCAAAACAAATGCGGTTATCCAGATATTCTTGAACATCTTTATATATTTTCCTACGAAACAAACATGGCTATTCGAAGATGTCGGAGATCTAAAATTCTGGACATCTGAAATTTCAGGCATCTGCATTCCTAAAAAACAAACCGTTCTTAATTATTTTAAAGATGATAAAATGGGCTAGAAACATTTCTATTTTACATGAAATTAAGTAAAATATTAATACGGTTCACAAGTCTTAGTCATGGGAATTATTAGTGATTTATTTAGTACAATGATAGTGGTACATGGAGTACCGGTTTGGATAAAAAATAGCAATTGTGAAGAAATTATTTAAGACAATCCGATTGTACAAAAGATTGCATTTAAGCCACACAAAAATTTAGTGGTTTTGAGCTATGAAAATGTTCATTTTTTGTTTATATTCACATTTTTGTTTCTGTTTTTTGATGTACTTTTTAGGGTGTGGGAACACCCTTTTTATTGTCACATTACCTCCACATTATTAATTCACATTTGTGCACTTTTTTCTACACAACCACCATTAAGACGAAGTTACGTAGCTCCAGCTTCCTAGCGACACGTTAATACAAAATCAACCAGTCAGTTTTAATTAAATTAAAAAAATCATGGACCAGGATGTAATAAACTTTAAAATTTATGGATTAAATTGATCAGATTTAAACCTTTAACAAGAAAAAATGCTCCCAATAATATGTTCAAACATTAAAGGCTCGGCTTGTAAAGACAAAGGGATTATTAAAGAGTCAACGTTTACAGGCTGCAATGTTTATTGAAAGAAGATCAATCGTGTAGATGAAACAATGAAAGGACTATTTGTGAAGAGATTTTGTATATTTGTTAAAATAAACCAGTCAGTTTTAATCAAACAAAAAAAATCAGCTGCAATAACACCGTTGTCCTTGACATGGAAAAGAGTTGGACGGATGGAAGGACTATTATTTGAGGGAAAGATTGTTTGAAATGCCAACTAAAGCTCCCAATAAACTTACACAGGAGAAAGATATATAAGTGAGGGACAAAATCTCTATTGATATGATATCTTTTGGGTGAAATAAAAAAAAAAATAACCATTTATGTTTTTGAGGCCCATTTCATAATCCTTTTTGTTTTTAATTTTTAAAAAACAAGTTTGTTTGATAACGAATTCAATTTTTTATTTTGTGTTTTCTAAAATTGTTCTGAAATCCTTAATAAATAAATAAATAAGTAGTTTTTAAAAATACGTTTCTATTTTTCAAAACCTAATTTCTTTTTCCTTCTCATGCTCAACTTTTTTTTTCTTTCACATATTTCTTTATGATAATTTTTTTTTCTCGCTCTAAAATATTTTTCTACCTAAATTTCTCTCTCTAAAATTTTCATCTTTGAAATATTTTCATTTGTATATATTTATATTTGTTTCTTTTTGTTTTAACATGTTACTTTATTGTCAATGCGAGCATAGCTCATATATTTCCAACTAAAAGGTTGAGAGTTCAATCCAATGTTCCTGATCATTTTCAAATTTCACATTTTATAACTTTTCTTTCTCTTTCTAGTATATTTTTCTCCAAAAAATATATATTTTCAACTTTTCTCTATCTAAATTTTTTCTCATTCAATTTTATTTCACTTATAACTTTCACTTCTCTTTTTATTTATTTATTTTGTGTTATAATTTTTCTCTCTTTCTTTAATACTTATTTTGCTCTCAACTTTCCTCTATAATTTTTTTTTTACTTTAACTTTTCTCTCACTAGTTTTTTTCCCTCAAATTTTTCTCTAACTCTAAAAAATTTATTATCTCTAAAATTTCTCTTTCAAAAGTTGTTTTTTTCTCTGTAAACTCTTTTATTTTCATGTCTCTACATTAGAGATGACAAAAATTCTCGTAGGGTCGAGTCCCTGCCCTAAGATCAGAAAATGAATTTCCCACCATGTCCCTTCTTCTTTTCAATTTTTAGATTTAATATATATTTCATTTAATGTTTTTTGAATTAAATATTAAATATTTTTCAAACTAATTATTTATACTAGTAAATAGTAATTCTTGAGTAAAATAATATAAATTATATATCTTTATTACATTTTTTAAATTCTAAAAATAAAATAAAATTAATTTTTAAACTAATAATTTTCTTGCAAAGATCCTCATCCCTAAATGAGGATCCCGGACCTCGATTCCTAAAATGGAAAACATGTGGGAGATGAGAATTATAAATTTTTCGTGGAAGAGTGCATCCCGACTCCTACTCCAAATTTTCGTGAAATAGTAATCCTCACGGGGAAATTATTAGTTTATTAATTAATTATAATTATTTTAAAAATTTTAAAATAAAAAATAATCATACATACATACATACACTCTACTTAACTGAAAATTTATTATTTACTACTAGTATAAATAATTATTTATAAAAATATGTAATATTTTATTAATGTTTTATTTGAATATTTAATAAAATATATATTAGTTATTTAAAAAAATGAAATTGGGAATGAGGTAGAGGCATGGTGGGAAATGTATTTCCTTTTCTTGGATTGGGGACTTAATCTAGGGATTTTTGTCATCTAAATGTGGTGACATGAAAATAAGATAAAAAGAAATTATTTATAAAAAATTTGAGAGAGTAAAGAAAAATATTTAGAGTAAAATAATTAGTGAGATAAAAGTTAGACAAAAAAAAAATTTATACAAACAACCTTTCGAGATATATTTATTAGAGAAAAATAAATAAAAAATAAAGAATAGTTATAGTGAAATAAAATTGAAAGATATACTTATTATAGAAAAATAAATAAAAAATAAAGAAT